TGAAAATACCAAACGACAGGGCTAAAGGCTTAATCGAAAGGGGTTAGAAAAAAAATAAAACAAAGAAAATCGTCATTTAATTTCTTTTAATAAGATTTGTCTATAAATCGCTACTTTTTTCACATTAATAAATAGACAATATTTTGGAACGATAAGAAAAAAAAACAGAAAATTTTAAACTAAAAAATCTTTGTGCCCGGCAACAAAAATCTTAGTGCCCCTTAAAAAAAATGTATTGCCCCGATTCCAAAATGTTGTCCATTCAAAAAATTAGGAAAAAATGACTAATACTGCTACATTGCACAATAAATAACTTAACAATAAATTTGTTAATAATTACGTTTCTTAAATTTATCGTTTTTTTATTACTTATTAATTAATAATAAAATTATTATTTACACAATTTCTTTTTTTTTAATTAATTTATTCTTTTATACAGATCGAGTGGGAGATTCGACTAAATGTTTTTACAAAAAAATATTCAATTAGTTTTTTTAATGAGGCAAACACTGGATTATTTAGTAGGTCAGTGCCCATATTGATTTATTTTGAGTACTATATTTTTAGAATATTGTAATTTAGCTAGTTTTATGAATCTGTCAAAGTTTTATTGTGTCTTATTGAGTACAGTTACAAATAATAAAGTAGTACCAATGTTTTAGGTCTTGTATACCCCGACTGGGGTTTACTCTTGAATCCAATTCCGATCGATCGACATTGGTATTGTGAAATTTCGTACTCTCGAGTTGCAACCTATCGCCCATTGCATCCGTATTGCGTGGATATTGAATGAACTAAATGGTATTGAGTTTGGCTTTATATTCCGTACTCTGAATGCTATTTCAACAGCTACGGTAGGGGTTGTATAGTTTTGACATTGAATAATTATTGAGTATTTATTGTATTGAAATTGCATTGACATTGAGATTGGTTTCATAGTAAGCACCATGGGCTTGAAACTAATCGAGTAACATTGTCAAACAGTTATATGAATAAGTCATACAATTTAAACTGTTAATTATGTCTGTCAGTTAAAAAAACACAATAAATATTTGACCAACCAGCGGTTATAGCTTAGAAAGTATTCGAATTTATGACCATTATATGTACCTACTTATTTTTTTTAACGTCTGCAAAATAAATCAATATAAACGATAACCATAATAATTAGGTATAATAAAATGCAAGTCAAGTTAATGTAGACATCAAAATACTATATTATCTTCAAACAATAATTGATCAGAAAAACAAATATTGTCTTTTCTTATATTGTCGCAATACTATGATATATTTTATATGCCTCGAAGATATAGACAGAGGTGTATATTTACATAACATAACATCACGCCTTTTATCCCCGAAGGCGTAGGCAGAGATGCACATTACGGCACTTAATGCCACTGTACACTGTAACACCCAGTTTTTACTATTTATGTTATGAGTCTATTGCCATATACCGGGCACATTACAAGACTCCGTGCTACAAGTGAGATTTTTAAATACCCAGTAATACTTTTCCCGACCTGGGAATCGAACCCGAGACCCCTTGCCCGGCAGTCGCACTTGCGACCACTCGGCCAATGAGGCAGGTGCACAATAATTAACACTTACGGAGCCGCGAAAGACTAAACAGGTTACCGGGGCTCCGGCTCGACGTGCAGGAGTAGGAACGGGGTGGTGTTTAGTCAGTTAGAGTCTGACACTCCCTCCCGCGTCACCCAGGCGGGAGAAGTCATTCGATGATTGTCCTTTTCAAGAAAATAATCAAAGCTCATGTAAATAATAGTTATTTTGCCTGACCCAAGCAAACAAACTGGGAATCGAACGGCAATCGCACTCACACTCGGCCAACGAGGCAGTAATTCTAACTTATAAGCTATGTCACTATGATATACTGCAAATTGAAATTTCAAAAGTTAAATTGATATTTTGTAATGGAGTATAATTTTTTTGCGCATAATTTTCTATGTGGTAGACGTTTAATGTAGGTATGTTATAGTAAAATATGAACAGTTTCAATAGGATTGTTAGGTAAATCATTGATTTTATAAGACCCTAGTTTCTGCCCGCGACTTCGTACGTGCAATCCCGTTTACTCCGGTTCTCATAAGATTTTCAGGATTTTTTTCTATCATAAGAACTGTCTCCTAACAATAACAAACAACATAAAAAATCAGCTAAATCGGTCTAGCCGTTCTCAAGTTATGGCGTGACAACGGGAAACGGGTTATATGTATATAGATTTTGTTGTTATGCAAAAATGTTTTTTTTTAAGGGGGGAAAATCATCAAATGACTGCTCCCGCCTGGGTGAAGTGGGAGGGAGTGTCAGACTCTTACTGACTAAAAACCACCCCGTTCCTTCTCCTGCACGTCGAGCCGGAGCCCCGGTAACCCGTTAGGTTCTCCGCGACTCGTATTACATACTGACGGTTTAGTACTCTGATAGTTTTGTTAACTACATGGCAATATATGTAACATTATAAATATACGCATCCATTGTTAGGGTCAATAAGTATAAAATCTGTCTAACAAACTTCAAAAAAATGAAAGGAAAACAATGAACGATAGATGCAATAAAAATTACAGGGTGTAAAGTTTGACAGATTTTAATCGGGACGATTACCATGAGCGGCGACCGAATTTTAAAAATCTTTGAATGCAAAGTGCATTCAAAGATTTTTAAAATTCAAAAAAAAGGGATAAATTTTTCTATCTTTTTAAGAGTACTTCCCCTTCAGGTATAAATTGTAATGTGAATATGATTGAAAAAGAGTAACCTATGGAGTTTCTTGCTCGTTCTTCTCCATAGGAATCTACACTTAGGAACGAGCAAATAGCTTCACTAGAGGACTGACCTACAGACTGTCATTTTTTCTTATTATTTAACATTTAAATATTTTATTTTGACGTTCAAAAGTGCCTTTCTGGTCTAATTGAAATAAATTATTTTGATTTTGACTTTTGACTTCAAGTGGCATTACAAGATTCCACCCTGCATAACACACATGACTATGTGTGCTAACAAACTTTGGAAAAATCAAGAATGTTTTAGTCCCGTCTATCTTTTCATTTTTTTTAAACGTTACCCCACACTAAGATTTTCTCCTGTGTCGTGGGTGCGTTTACAAACATACAAGTTCACATACACATGACACCCAGACCCGGAACAACAATCTGTGGATCACACAAAGAGTTGTCCCGTCCGGGAATCAGCCCGCGACTCGTTGCGTGGCTGTACATTGCTTAGCCACCGCGCCAACCGTGCAGTCTTGTGGTAGGATAACGATAATGGAGTACATGGGTACATGGCTTCAATTCTTTAGTTAGAGAAAAGTTTTATATTATTGAAAACCTCTTTTTTAACAATCAATTCCTTATAACAGGAGACTTATGTTTAGACTGATTGTTCATCAATTCTAAGAACAATATTCTATCAAGATATTGCGACAATACAAAGAAAATATGAAACAAAAAAACATCTACATATATAGTTTACAGACAGACGTACATTATGTTTAGTTGTGTCTAAACTATTGACATGAGAGAGCAAGACGCTGATAGTTTCTGTACTCTTCTTACTTTGGTTAAGTTTTGATGATTGGAAAAACATATAATTAATTTTGTAGTGTAGAGAGCTGTCAACGGCAAGTACCAATGTGACTTTTTCCGAGTTATATGTATTTTATTAGATTATTTAGACACCACTGACAAACGGTGAAGGAAAACATCGTGAGGAAACCTGGGTTTATAATTTCTAATTATAAGTTTAGAATCTGGTAGATTATTTTAAAACATTAGACACGTATTTTTTCTTTTCTCACAATAATAAATGCTTTTGACGATATACTGATTTAAAATGTCGCGTAACGTCACAGCGTGCTACAAAATGTATCACGTTGTGACGTAACTACTTCCCACTCCTAAACTTAACGCCATTTTATCTAATTATTGTAACTTTATACGAGAAAATAAAAAAATACGTGTCTAATATTTTTTCATTATCTTACTGACGGACTAATTAGATTTTTAATTTTCTTACTCTGGATACTACCCTTTTACTGTTATAAACGTAGACAGATAATGTGCACGAAGAAAAATATGGAACTTCTAGAAATAATTATTAATATTTTTATGGTATGCGGAACTATTTACAACAGTTACGATGATGTAATTGAATTCCTTTAAAATGGACCACTAATCAAGAAGTTGCACATGCCAGCTGTATGTGGGAAATGGCATTTGAAAATATGTGTATTTAGAACCTTTTTCAGGAAAGATCAGTCTTGGTTTAATAGACTTGATTCCGTCCATTGAGCAAATACAAAAAACTCGACGTCCAGGAAAAGTTTTTGAGCGCCTTATTGCAAATCAAAGAAATTGTTGTTTAATGTCAGGAAGCCATGAAGTAAACTAAATTAACTTCTTTGATTATTGTTAAAGTTCCAGGGTAAATGTGAAATCTGTTTTAAATGTGGGAGAGCCATGCTTCGGGCCGGCTCGACCGGAGTGATACCACGGCCGAGCAGAAAACCACAGTGAAACAACACTTGCGTTGTGTTTCGTCGTATAAGTGAGGTAACTGGAGGCCCAATCATCCTCCCCTCCGTCCTCAATCTCTCTAACCCCTGAATCCCCAACATTCCTCAAATTCCTAATCCCCTAAAGGCCGGTAACGCACTTGTAACGCCTCTTGTGTTCCAGATGTCCATAGGTGGCGTTGATCGCTGGGCCATCAGGTGATCCGTTTACGTTTACCGGCTTATCCCATAAAAAAGTGATGCTGTGGTAGTTAGTGATTTTGATAGAACAGAAACTAACAGTAAATAGCAGATATTTACCAATTTTAATTACAAATAGGATATAACCAAAATCCCTTCAAACCGTCCACAATTACTTCTTAAATAATGGCGAAGAAAAACAAAAAAAAAAATAAACACAAAACTATCAATGATCAATCATCAAAACTCAACCAAGTCTCCCACCTACTTCATTCTACTCCTAAACTCTATTCAACTGCTGTTCTCTCTCTCTCGCCTTCATCTCCAGCTCTTCTTCCTCCTTCGTCAGAGGTACAGTGCTGTGGTTATACAAGCCTTGTGCCATGAGCTGTAGAGCCAGTGGGTTCCTCTGGCCAGACGCCTTCTTGATCTTGGCTCGCTTGTTCTGGAACCAGATCTTGATCTGAGCCTCCGCCAGGCCGAGCTCTGCTGCCAGGCTCTGTCGTCTTCTCTCTGTTAGATAGCGGTTTTCTGCGAACTCGTGCTGTGGAGAAAAGGCTTTGTTAAAGAGTGCCATTTTTTGAAATGGTATTGGAAAATGAGAAATGTCTGAACTTAAATTATTTTAACATAACATAACATCCCCGAAGGGATAGGCAGAGGTGCACATTAAAACACTTAATGGCACTATGAACACCCACTTTTCCCTATTTATGTTATGAGTCGCATGTAATAGGGGGTGAGCCTATTGCCATATCCCGGGCACAATTTCAGACTGTGTGCAGAGACTGAGATTTGAAAAAAAATCCCAGTAATACTTTGCACGACCCGGGGATCGAACCCGAGACCCCGGCAGTCGTACTTGCGATCACTCGGCCAACGAGGCAGTCAAATTTTCTAATAGGAAATTAATTTATTTTCTTTTAGAAAATCAAAGTATTTTACGGAATTATCTTCCACTCAATCCACTTTATCAGCAAACATGCGATAACATTATAAAAAATTGTTCCCTGTAACATTTTCTTCTACGTCGTGGGTTTGCGTTTACAAATATTTCTATACTAGCTACTTCCGCGCGCTTTCACACGCTCTGCTCAGCTCCTATTGGTCGTAGCGTGATATTTTAGCCTATAGCCATCCTCGATAAATGCGCTATCCAACACAAAAAGAATTATTCAAATCAGACTTGTAGTTACGGAGATTAGCGCGTTCAAACAAACAAACAAAAAAACAAAAACTTCTGCTTTATATAATAAGTATAAGATTCACATACACATGAAACAACAATTTGTAAACCACACAAACAGTGCACCAATTGAGCAGCAGTACGTAAGTAGGTCAAAAGTATGATTATTCCCAAAAAAATATAAAAATTAGACGTCATACCTTTAACCTTGCGAGTTGGGGTCCAGAGAATGCAGTGCGGGGTCTCTTTTCGTCAGGTACTGCGTTGTCCCCAGGGGGCTTCTTAGGTCTTCGCGTCCTGGGACCTGGTCAGAAATTGACTAAAATGGAGGACGGATACCTAGGGCTTATTACTTTGATACTAGACTAATGTAGATAAAAAGATATAAAATAATTGTTTGAGAAGATTATCAACGAATGTATTCAGGTAATTTACGAAAATATAGCTTATTTAAATAAGTAAGAATTAGGTCATTTTTTTAACGAATCATCTACAAATTTTCTGTTAGAAATCACCCTAAACAAGTTGAAACATGATCTTCTAAGGAGTAGTTCATAAATGATGTAATAAAAATTATTGAAATATAACAACACAACACAAGCAACACAACACAAAAAAAACAAAGCAACAATCAAAGAAGCAAACACACACAAGTACAAACACAATATATTTTATATATACATAACAAAAAGACACGCAATTAATTGTATACTCTCTAATACGCAATATTAAAAACCCAAAAACGAATGCAAAAACAGCAACAAAAACTGCAATACGCAAGGCCCTATCTATAACAGAGCAAGGCCCTTTTTATATCAGCGCAAGGCCATGTCTACACCAGCGCAAGGCCCTGTCCATATCAGCGCAAGGCCCTTTTATATTAGCGCAAGGCCTATCTACACCAGCGCAAGGCCTGTCTACACCAGCGCAAGGCCCTTTTTATATCAGCGGAAGGCCCTGCCTATACCAACGCAAGGTCCTGTCTATACAAGCACAAGGCCGTTTATATACCAGCGCAAAGCCCTGTCTAAACCAGCGCAAGGACCCGTCTATACCAACGCAAGGTCCTGTCTATACCAGCGCAAGGCCCTGTCTATACCAGCGCAAGGCCCTGTCTATACCAGCGCAAAGCCCTGTCTATACCAGCGCAAGGCCCTGTCTTTACCAGCGCAAGGCCCTGTCTTACACATGCTGAACTGGTCCCATTTCACGGCAGACTTGGGACATGTATCCATCAGTGACTACTAATAAAATAACAAACCTGTTCGTATGTCACTTGCTTTTTATCGTGTGAAATTAAGTTTTTTTCTCTTTTTCAATAACATAAGTGCAGCTCCCTCGATGGAATCCCCAAATCAAGCAGACGATGCAATATCTTAACCAATTCAGTTCTCAGTTTTATAACCACTGATGACAATAATGATAAAATTGGTCAAAATATTTCACCGAGCGCCTGACGGGCTGATGGTGATGGTGATGGTGTCTTCCGTGGAGTAACCCTAGAGGTGGTGGTGGCTAGACATTGAGTTGAGGTTTAGGTAATAAGCGTGGTGATTAGTTGTGTATTTCAGATTAAAGTACGTAAGTAAAGATGACTGCTTCATTGGCCGAGTGGTCGCAAGTGCGACTGCCGGGCAAGGGCAAAGTAATACTGGGTTTTTCAAAAAATTCTCAGTAGTAGCACGGAGTCTGGAATTGTGCCCGGTATATGGCAATAGGCTCCACTCCCTATTACATGGGACTCATAACATAAATAGTGAAAAGTGGGTGTTACACTTTTTAAATAAATTACAATTGCTTCTACTATGACGCAAAACTTGATTAGTTGCCAGATTGTTTAATACTTTTCGCAGTGTACGTACTTTAATCTGAAGTTCACAAAAAAACACTTATTTTCTATATTAGTATGAACACAAACAAACAAATTAGCTACAACAACACAATTTACAAAAAACTGTGCCACAAAACAATTCTTCTACGTGGCACAGACATTGACAATAAGATTAACAACATGCTGTCAAAAATTAAATCCTAGATTTATTACAAAAAGTCTAGTTTATTAGTCAAAGATCATGTTTCAACTTTCATTTCATTAAATTTAATCATTCGTATCATTTTTAGCATTGTTATGTAATAGTTTAAATTAGACATTATTCATATGCGGCGTGGAAAAAATATCTTGATAGAAGAAACTTCAAATTATAACTTGAGAATCAGTTGTCATTATTTTATTTATATTTTACGGGTAGTATTTAAACGAATATCAAAAAATATCCTTTTTCTTTGCAATAAGATTCCGAATTCCCATCAAAATTACTGATTGCACAGCAAAATATTTAACTCAAAATATTACTAAACACACTACAATTTATTTTCGCAGCGTACAACGATTTTGCCTAAAGCAAAAGCTTGCATTAATGCACAGCTAATAATCTTAATGCACATTATATAGGTAAACTCTTTTTCTTTTAAATATAACTTCTATTTTTAAATTATTTACAACAGTTTTTCTAAATAAAGCAGCATTTTAAATTCACTTATTTTATTTAAACTAATATTTTTAATATAAACGGCTAAATGGTATGAAAAGATTTGAAAAGCAGTTAGTGATATAACGCTCGGCGGCCGCTACCGCGGCACCGCTCGCTACGCTCGCTCGCCTCGCGCCTTGTGAGGGTCGCAGTTCTAACCTAACCTAACCAAATGTTTCGGGGTGCCCAAAATTGCTGTGCAGTACTGACTGACAAAATTACTACATACATAGCATAAATACTGATTTATGCTATGTATGTAGTAATTTTGTACAAAAACAAATATAACCGTATTGCATTATAAGGAAAAAAGGATTGTCGTATTGATGTATAATTTCGAATTATCTGCAGTTTGAGTTTTGTAGAACATTTCATTTGTTTGTAATGAAGTAAGTTATTTGATGTAAAAAAGAATATAAATGATGAGTATGTATTGATAGGCGATTATTTATTTGATATGCAATTTATAATATCCCATATTTTACAATAGAAAACAAAAAATGATGTTTCAGAACTAAAACCGTAAAGGTGCATTCGCGTGTAATGTAACATTACAGATCTGAGCATTACATCAGTGAAGGAGGAGAACCGAGCATTACAATGCGCACCTTGTAATGATACAATGTGTAATATCTTGATACAACTTGTAACATCAATGTCTGACATCTCGCTATGAAATGCTCAAAGTCGAATCTATAATGTTACATTACACGCAAATGCTCGTTAGTAAGGGAGGTATTATTGTAATATAATGCTCAAAGTCGAATCTATAATGTTACAATACATGTGAATGCTCCCGGAGAGGGATGAGCTTAAAGTGTGAAAACAAATGAAAGTCATAAAACAATGTAGATGGATGGAGAAAAAAAAAGTACAAGTCGATGGATTGTATGAAGAGTGATAATAAATATATAACAATAAGAAGTTTATATCAGGATAACGTTTGACAGAGAAGTATAGAAAAGGAAGATATTGTGACATTTTTGAGGGTTGGGGGATTATCCAATGACTTTTGGATACATATTTTAATGGCATAAGCCGGTAAACGAGCAGACGGATCGCCTGATGGTAAGCAATCGGCATCGCCCATTAACACCTGGAACACCAGAGGCGTTACGAGTTCGTTACCGGCCTTTTGGGGATTAGGAGTTTGAGGATCGTTGGGGATTCAGGAATTGGAGAGATTGATGGGGAAGGGGTGGGTTATTGGGCCTCCGGTAACCTCACTCACACGACAAAAACAACACAAGCGTTGCTTCACGTCGGTTTTCTGTAAGGCCGTGGTATCACTCCGGTCAAGCCGGCCCATTCGTGTCGAAGCATGGCTCTCCCACACTTAAATTTTCCCGCCGTATGCGTGAGGCTAGAGGGAATGTCAGACTACTGACTAAACACCACACCGTTCCTATTTCTGCTTCGAACCGAAGTGGGTATAAGTGGTGGGTGGGAAGTGGTTGTCCGCGGTTCCAAGTCGGGTATCGGCCCTACTGGACACCATATAAGACTGTAGTAACCTCAAGAAACTGAGGATATCGACAGGAAGAACAAGATTAGATTAGAAATACTTCAGAAAAAGTGAAGACGAAACGAAAATATACAACAATAAGGGCATGAAGATGAAGAAGAAATATTGTAGATAAGGCAAAACCCAAACGAAAACATTTCGTCGTGTGAGTGAGGTTACTGGAGGCCCAATTACCCCCTTTCCTAATCTCCCCAATCCCCGAATTCCCCACAATCTTCAAACTCCTAATCCCCAAAAGGCCGGTAACGCACTTTTAACGCCTCTGGTGTTTTGGGTGTTTATGGGCGACGCCGATTGCTTACCATCAGGTGATCCGTCTGCCCGTTTACCGGCTTTACCGGCTATGTAATAAAAAAATAAAATAAAGAGATGGCATTCAAAATGAATAGTTTAATACATAATTTGTTTATAACAGCCGTTGATAGAAAGTTCGGCAACCGGTATTATTTATAATAAAGACATAAAATTAAATTTATTATATTCGCTGTATATATTAGGAATATATGTGTGTATTTTAAACTTTTATACCATATAAGGAAGTCTATAAATATATGAAGAAGTCACCTTTTATCTTTCTATTTGCGAACTGGTTTAAGAGTAGATAATATGAGAATATCAGCGCGTTTAATTCTGAACGCCATGAATGAAATATGTTCATGGAAAATATATTGTGAGTTCAGTACATCACAATATTGGATAATGTATCAGAGAAGAATTTTAAAAGAGTAACGAATGGAAATTCTTGCTCGTTCTTCTCCATTCGAATCTACATTTTGGAACAAGCACATGGCTTCACTGACGGACTGACTGACAGACTATTATTTATTTTGTATTTGTTGACATTTCAAAAGTACCAAATTATGGTTTAATCGAAATAAATGCTTTGACTTCGGAATTGTTTGGGCTGCGTGGTGGGACGTGGTGGGACCTGTCACCATATAGTGGTAGGCGTCCCGGGTCACGGCTACAGGCAGAGGAGGAACACCGCGGTGGTTTTAGCCGGTAAGAGAAGACACATCCCCTCGGCGTCCCCACGGCGTGGGAAGTCATGAGGATTTCCATCGCGGTATAAAAAAAATGATGATAACAGTCTGATGGAGGAAAATAGGAGAAAGGAAGAAGAAAGAATAGGTTGCTGGAGTCTTTACAATTGTCATTATATAAATAAATATTATCTTTTTTTATAGAAAAATAAATGGAATTTTCTCACGTGGTTCCCGTGAGCGCGTCCCGTACTTACTTCGTCCT